CAAATAAAAAGTCAGATTTTTAAGCTTCTCTTCAAAAAAAAAAAAATCAAAAGATTAGAAACACTGGGCTGTTGCTCTCATACAGCAACCATCAGTGAGAGCCTCCCTTTTAGAGACAGTGCCTGAAGTTCAGGCTTCAAAGTCTCTTTCACACTCTTATTGCCCCCACAGGTGGGGGGGCCGCGGCCATGCAGCCTTGTGGTTGTAGCCTTTTTACTCACAATTAGAGTAACACAATAATATGGTTCAAATGTCAAAATAATACACAAAGCTATACAGTGAAAAGTTCATTCACATTTTATCCCCACTCTCCCTAAGTAAGCACTTTTGTTAGTATCTTCACTTATTTTCTGCTTCTTCCTTACACAAGGTAATATAATATATATTTTTCTCTGCCTTGCTTTCTTCGCTTAAAATATATCCCAAGGGCTATTCCAGTAACAGTACACAGAGAATTTCCTCATTCTTGTTTTACAGCTACCTATTCCAGTGGGTGCATAGGTTAGTTTATTTAACTACTTCCATACTGATGGGCACAGATTGTTAATAATAGTCTTTTTGTTAATAATAGTCCCACAAATGATATTTCTGGGTCATAGGGTAAATGTATTTGTAATACTTTTAGATATTGCCAAACTGCCTTCCATATGGGTTATACCATTTTGCAGTTCAAACGGCAATGCAAAAGCTTGTCTGTTCCTCTCCAGCTTCCCCAAGAGAATGTGTGGTCAGACGTTTGTAATTTTGTCATTCTGACAGGTGACAATTATGTTTCAGGACAGGTGTAATGTGCATTTTTAAGCTAATACATCTTTTCTTACATGTTTACCTAGAGACATTTGTATTTCTTTTTCTGAGAAATACTGTGTTCATTGCCCTATTGGATTCTTATTTCTGCTGATTTTTCTATTAAATTCTTGTTTTTTTCCTTATTTACTTATAGAAGTGCTATATATATTCAGAGGACTAGTCCTATATTTATGGTACGAAAAAGTTATGGAAAAAAATATTTTTTTCCAGTTTGCCATTTATCTTTTATCTTTGTTTATGGGGTGCGTGTGCTTGTTTTTGCTGCTGTGTGTGCTTTTTAAATGCAGTTAAATTTATTTACTATTTGCTTTTGACTTGTCAGTTGTTTAAAAGAAAGATATTCCCCATTCCAACATTAAAAATGAATTTACCCGTATTTTCCTCTAGCCATTTTAGAGTTTCATTTTTTAAAAATGTAAATCTTCAACCATTTAGAGCTTCCTAAGGTACACATTGTGAGAAATAAAATCTTTCTCTCATCAGGAGCATGACCCTAGATTCTGGACAGGATGATAAAGCTACCAGAACACCGATAAGTGTAAGACCTGGAGAATGGGATGAGAGAGCAGCTGATGGGGAAAGTGAGATGGGGGGTGGTGTGAAGTGGGGCAGGGACTAAACAGAGGCTATGTCTCCTGCATGAGTTCCTGGTGGATGGGTGTTCAATACTGGTCTAGCTCAGTGATACCGAAGCCCTTATTACTTTTCTCCAAAATACTCACTTGTTTTTAAGAATTTAATGTGTTTGGTTGTACCAAACTAACTGTTTTTAAGTAATGATTAGTTATGTTGCCCTTCCAACAACCAGTTTCTGGGCAGAATGTGCTAAGCAGGATTAGCATGCTGAGCTGATATACTTTCAGCCAAAAGCACAGAAAGAACTTTGAAGTGTCAGCTAGCTTGAGGAGGCTCATCTTGGATAAATGAGCCATTTTGGAAGACTTTTTGAAATGCTGACATTAATCTTCCTACCGCTTATTTTTTTGTTTCTAGATCTCAAAAGACATGGAACTTCAGTGGAGGGTGTGGGAACCTCTGATTTCATCCTCATTCAAAACCTACTGGGGCTGTATAAAAGGGTGGGGGGAAGGTGTAGACTTCAACCATAACAAGTGTGCACACTGACCTCCATGATGTATAAACAATTTTCTTAGCAACTTTACTTTTTTAAATATATTTTTAATGCTTATTTTTGAGAGAGAGACAGAGCATGAGCGGGTGAGGGGCAGAGAGAAGGGGAGACACAGAATCCTAAGCAGTCTCCAGGGCTCGGAGCTATCAGCACAGAGGCTGACATGGAGCTTGAACTCACGAACCATGAGATCATGACCTGAGCCAAAGTCAGATGCTTACCAAATGAGCTACCCTGGGACCCCTCTTAGCAAGTTTTCTACTAGAGGTGCCTGTGAAAGTGCTCTTTAAAACACACATTCCTCATGTGAACAATTCTCTGTTCTGAGAAAATCAGGGAGTAAAAATGAGAACAATTTGCAAAGATAAATGATAAGAATATTGCTAAAATAAAGTGAAGGGCTTTCAGCAATAAAATTGGTTCCTCTGCTTGAAGCAGAGGCTTCAAAAGAGACCTGGTGAGAGTGAGATGCTTAATGCTGCTTACTGTCATCAGGAAGGTATGCCAATGTCCAGGCACACTAGGCTGCACCTCTAACAATTAATTCAGGATCTCTGGTGGTGGGATCCAGGCATCAGACATGCCTAAAGCTCCCTATGTGATTTCAGTGTGCAACTACCACTCTAGAACCATGCTATTCAAAGTGTCATCCTCAAACCAGCAGTGTTGATGTCAGTGGGAGCTTATGAGAAATGCAAAATCTCAAGCCTAATTAGACCTTCTGAGTCAGAATCTACATTTGGAAAAGATCATCAAGATATTCATGTGCATATTAAAGTAGAGAAGTGGTGTGGGCACCCGGGTGACTCTGGGTTTCAGCTCAGGCCTTGATCTCAAGGTTTGTAGTGAGATGGAGCCCTGGCACCAGGCTCAGCACTGAGAGCACAGAGCCTGCTTGTGATTCTCTCTCTCCCTCTTTCTCTACCTCTTTCCTGCTCACATGCATGTGCAAGAGTTCTCTCTCTCTCTCCCCAAATAAATAAGTAAACACTAAGAAAAATAAGGAAGCAGTGATTTAAAGCAGCTTTCTCAAAGTGGCCCCTAGACCCCCTGTATCAAACTGACAAGGGGATGGGAAGGTGGGGGAATGGGGATCAGGGGACTTCTTAAGAAAGACAATTCTGGAGATGATCATTTTATAAGTATGAGGGTGGGACCCTGAAATCTGCATTTTAGTGTGCTTTCACATGACCCCTAGCCTACTGTTTGAGAACTACTCCCAACAGGAAAGCCAGCAATCTGACAGCTGCTTTCTCTTGACCTGCATGGACATTCCCTACAAGGAATGCAATGACTCTACAAGGTCAAAGCATACCCATTACAAGTGGGTGACGAGTTGATGATAATCTATGAATACTTCTCAGCCTGAGAAATGTGATGCTTGTACCCTCTGATCTATAACAGAGCAGGTGGTAGTAGTTAAGTCTGGCTTTCAGGCTGACACAGAAATGGGTCTCTCCAGCCTCTTGGGTTAGTGACTGAACAGGCTGCAATACCTCATCTTCTAGATTAAAAATATAAAATGTTGATGATCAGATGCATCCTCCTTGAAGGGTTTCAAAAAACCCTCAAAATACATGGTAGAGAACCAGGAAAAAGAGTAAATCCCCCAAAGGAGATTTCTTCATTTTACAGAGGTCTTTTAAAAAGTTTGCTTGGGCCTAGATACTTAAATGATAACATAGGTTAAAAGAGAAGAAGAAGAAGAAGAAGAAGAAGAAGAAGAAGAAGAAGAAGAAGAAGAAGAAGGAGGAGGAGGAGGAGGAGGAGGAGGAGGAGGAGGAGGAGGAGGGAGGAGGAGGAGGGGGGGAGGAGGAGGAGGAGGGGGAGGAGAGGAGGAAGAAGAAGGAAGAAGTAGAAGAAGAGGAAGAAGGAAGAAGGAAGAAGAAGAGGAGGCAGCAGCAGCAGCCTCCGCCGCCAGGAAAGGAAAAATTTGATCTCTCTCAAAAGATGTATCTACAGTATGTAATACTTCCATGTTGTAGTTGTAAAAGCATTTCAGCTCGTAAAAGATATTTAAAAGTTTTATGATAATAGATGCTCTAAGTGAATTTATCTTCAAATACCTAGGATTCTGAAGGCCACTCGACTTGGGGTGACAGAGCTGAAATCTTTGTAATTATAAAACGAAACAAGACTCCTGCGGCTGTAATGGATAATGAAATGGAATGGGGAACTGCAATGTGATCTGAATGTAATTGTTAGATAATTATTGAGTTGAAAATCAGCAAAAGCAAAGAAACTTCAAACTGGTAAAAAAAAAAGATTTTTGAGGCTTTAAAGACTTTTTTTTTAAGGGCAGAGTTTCTTAAACCTTTTTTGGGGAGTGCAAATTGAATGAAACTCTAATGAAATTAATCTAATCTAATGGACTCTCCCTAGATGCACAGTCCCCTGAGGGCACACTGGTAATTTCTGGAGCTCCACAGACCCGCTGGAGCCCGCATTAGAACCTCACCTTTCACAGTGAATTTTAAGAAAATTTCTCTATATCGATCTTCCCATTTGGAACCGCTTTACCTAAGAGCAACTTTTTATGCATCAAGGTCCCAGGTGATTGATAAAATTAGAGTGGATTGTTTTCGCTTCAGTCAGTGTCGTGAGGGTGGTCCGAGGCCAGGTGAAAGGCCAGACCACTAGATGAAGCCAGGGAGAGAATCCTTTTATTGAAGAAGTCTGCGCTCTCAGAAAGGTCTGCCCCTTGCTCTTAGAAGGATGCAGCGAGTTGCACAGGTAGAACCTGGAGCCGCTGTGGCTCCTTTCGCACTAGACTGTGAAAACTTCTGTTTGAAGTTAGGAAGGAAAGTAGGCCGTTAAAAACACTGCCTACGCCCCTCATTTATCTGCCTACTCAAAAAAGGATGAGGAACAGAGGAGAAACTGACCTCAGAGGGCTAAGGTGCTTGCCCAGGTGACATCCCCAGCCGGGTTCGCGCCCAGGGCCCTCTCTCTCAGCTCCTCGCCATCCAGGGAAGCACAGGGTATCTGGGCCTCTCTCCCCGCACTGCCCGCCGCCCACCCCAGCGGAGGCGCCACCGGGAGCCAAGCCCCAGCCTACCGGCACCATGGAGTAGGTCATCATCATCAGCATGTCGTGGCTCTCTGCGCGGATGTGCGGCGCGGGCTCCCCGCCATGACTGCGCTTATTGCGCGCGGCGCTTACAGGGTCCGGGGGTGGAGCGGGTGCCCTGCGCGGCGCGCAACTCAGCTCAGCCAGGAAGGAGCGCAGGGCGCTGTTCTCGCGCTGCTCGCGACCCTGCTGATCCTCCAGCGCCCGCACCGCCGCGCTCAGCCCGCGCCACTGGCACAGCGCGAACACCGTGCCAGCGGCATTGAGCGCCGAGAGCAGCGCCACCGCCGCCAGGGCTCCCCGCAGCCCCCAACCGGCGCCCCTGGGGCCTCGCTCCGCGCCACTGGCCATGCTCTGCGCGCCTCGGGCTGGGCAGGGCTCGCCGCCGCCCGCCGGGCGGCCTTTATATGCCACAGGCAAGTCGTAGGCTGGTGGCAGCGCCGCCGTGAGTCACGCTGCCCTTTGCCCCGACTGACGGGGCGGGTTGGGGACAGTAGTGGTGGCGCCTGAGCACCCCGGAGGGACAGGCGGGTGAGAGGGGGAGAGGAGCGACTGGAGACTGTAGGCTGGCGGGAAAATGGTGGGCAGGGCTCATGCTCCTGGTGCCTGGCCAAGAAAACCAGCAAACCCAGGTCTCCCTCCTTTTCTCACTGCCCTGCCCGTGGGCACTGCTGTGGCCCAGGCGGGCAGAGCGAGGGTCAGACTGAGGAGGAGGGCAGGAATTCTTAAGGCTCGAGAAGTCACTGGATTCCACCCCCTTCTCCCCCCCACACTGACCTCTCTGGAGAAAAGGATCAGCATGCCCAGAGGCCAAGGCATGTGCCCATTGTCCCTAGGTTTGCTACTGGGTAGCCATCCCAGGCTGCCCATCATGTGGCCGCTGAACACCCTATGATACCGTTCTGAGGAAGGGGATGGATGGAGACAGGGAGACAGTAGGCACTGGTAGGTTAAAAATCCACCCATCAGAACCAGAAAAGCCCTTCCCTGCCTGAGATGGAGGAGTCCTCTGTGAAGGGAGACTTCTAGGATGTGACAGGCCAAGAACTCCCATGAGACCCATACCTAGGAGGCAGCAGGGTGATGAGAAAAAAACTCAAGAATGGAAATCAGGAGACCTGGTTCTAACTCCATTCTGCTACTGCTCAGCTGAGGGGCTTTCAGCATGTCCCAAGACCACTCTGAATTGATTCTGAGGGGCTTTCTGGCTGAAGGGTTGGGCTCTGGCCAGCCATTTCTGGACCTTACTTAGCCTGCCTTGTTTGAGGGGGCAGTTGCCTCATGTCTCCTAGTTACCCCTTCATAATACCCTCCCTTCCTGTCAGCTCAGTTGCCCAGTGTACTTCAAGGTACAAGTGATAGAGGATGTGTCACTCTCCTCCAAATACAGAGTCACTTCTCAGTCTCCTCAGAAGATGTCTTCACTCCCTCAGCTTTCCCCATAATGGCTCTGCTTCCCTGGTCAAATTTGACTGTATCACCTCCAGACACCTCCTGGAGGCCCTGGTGGTGTTGGAAGAGCACAATCAGAAGCCAGGATTGCTGTTTCCACAGCCCATTATTTCAGAAGAGGAGGTGGCCCCCTGCCATTGAGCCAGCTAGAGCTCTCAAGGTCCTGTGTCAAGCTCTGGATTCCTGAATTTGGGACATTGACCAACTTGCATATTCTTAGAAGAACATCCAGGATGAGGAGAAATTAGGAAAGCATGAAGTTCCAAGTGGTTCGTTAAAGACCTCAACTATGAGGACATGATGTCTAGGAGGGGATGGAGGTAATACAGACAAATTTGTCCAGTTTCTCCCAACTCTAGCATACTGTTATCCATTTGAAGAATGCCATGTATCCTTATCTCATCCAGCCTTAGGATACCAACTGTCAGGCTTAAGATCAATGGAGAGAAGCCACAGAGAGACAGAGCTTGGGAGTCAAGCCCAGTAAGATCTTCTTTTAAATAAATGGTCCATTTCCAGGCATCTCATTTCTTTTTTTCTTTTTTGTCTTGTCTTGTCTTCTTCTCTTTTCTTTTCGAGAGAGAGTGTGTGTGCAGGCAGGGAGAGGAGCAAAGGGAGAGAAAGAAAAAAAGATCTTAAGCAGTCTCTATACTTAGCGCAGACCCAGATATGGGGCTCGATCCCACAACCCTGGGGTCATGACCTGAGCTGAAATCGAGAGTCAGACACTCAACCAACTGAGCCACCAGGCACCTGAGTAAGATCTTCATTTAATTCACTAAAAATTTCTTGAGCACTTACTGTGTATCAGGCATAGTGATGGGCATTGGAGATACAGAAATGAACAAGACAACCAGCTTGCAGTGAGAGCAGTTGGAGTCCCATGGAGCCTCCTGAGCTTCTCTTTATTCTAAAATTCATTATAGTTAGTTACTATTGCCCAACCATCTGTTGTCAATGCCTGTCATCAATAACAGTATACAGCTCCTGAGGTTAGGGGCCTTGTTTGACTTTGTCGCATCCAACACCTAGCACAGTCCTTGGCTTGAAATCGCCATTCAAAATTACCTGTTGAATGAGTAAATGAGCAAATGAATGAATAAAAGTCTGTAGAGTGAGCATATGTTTGTGTAAAATGATGTATGCCTAGTGGTGGTAAAGCTTAAGCATGAAACTCTGCTCGTTCCACTAAACTAGAACTACATTCCTGTCCAGTGGTAGGGAGAGTGACTGTAGTCTGATACACATGCCTTCAATCCCTCTGGTTCAGAGCCCGTAGTCAATAGAAGGAGTTTAGTTCCAGTTCCATTTGGGACCAGCCAGGCTTTATCTGGCAACCTAAGGTCAAGATGCTACCCTTCTTGGGATGCAGGACTCAGAAAGTTTGTGACATGGACTGTAGGCTGGATGGGTGGAGTACCTGAGATAATGCATTCAGAGAGTGCAAAGAGTAATGGAGAGCAAAGGAAAGGGGAGATTCCTCTTCCATTCAACTCTTCTTCCAGTTTCTTCTCCAAATCTTTCTGTGTAGGAATATAATAGTTTATAAGAAAGGAGAAGCATGGGCCAAGTTGTTACAGCATACAAGGCAGGTGTCTTCACTTAGCCCTCCTCCCAAGATGGCTGTATTCAAGCAGCTGGCCTTGCTCTGTTCTCCTTCCCCTTTCATCTCTGTCATCTCTCTACACCCTTGCCCCATGACAGCTCCATGCATTGACCTTCCTCCTTCTCTCTCCTATCTCAGTCAGCGTTACACTTGTATAAGGCCTAGCTCAGAACCATGTTCCTCATCAAGCCCTGCCTTCCATTCCAGCCTCAATTCTTCCTCTCCCTGAACTCTGCAAGCCCTAGGGACTCAGAAGCTATGAGTGTGGGTTTTGGAATCAGATAACACTAAGTTTGAGACTCCTAAAAATTTTCTTTTAATGTTTATTTTTGACAGAGAAAGAAAGAGAGAGAGAGGGAGAGAGAAAAAGACAGAGAGAGAGAGAGAGAGCAGAGGAGGGGCAGAGAGAGGGGTATACACAGAATTCAAAGGAGGCTCTAAGCTCTGAGCTATCAGCAGATGTGAGATCATGATCTGAGCCAAAGTCAGATGCATCTGACTGAGCCACCCAAGTGCCCCTTGAAACTGCTTTTTAAATTTACAGCCGTGCGTATGTTACTCAGATTTTCAAAGGAGAGTGTAATCATATCTATCTCATAGCTTGTGAAGATTTAATGAGAAAATACACGTAAAGCACTGGGTATATAGTAAATGCTCAGTGGACATTAGTACTATTGGCTGTGGGCTGTGGGCTGTCTGAACTTTGCTAACACCCATGCTGTGCCTTGTGCTGTTGAACAACATCTTAGTTCTTCCAGATCTTACTTCTTTTGTTGGATTATAATATCCTTAAGGAAGGGAGCTCTTTTCACTGTGACCCAACAGGGGCTTATGCCAAGTAGGAATATTTGATTAATAAATTGATTAGCTAAAAATTGAAGGATTTTTTAAAAATGCTTTTTGAGGAATAAAACTTTTCAATGAATGGTAAACTTGGTCTCTTTTCTGAACACAGTAGCCTTGAGATTAGTTATTTGGTGCCTTTCCATCTCTAGCTTCCTAAGCCCCCTGTGACTCCTTGATGGGCAGATACATCTGTGTAGACTGTCCTACCTAGTATTTCTTAGGATGGGCTGGTAGTTTTAGTAACAAGTAATTCTTAAAAAAAAAAAGAAGAAGTTAGCTATTACTCTGGCCTATTTTGTTGACATAGGAGTTCAAGTTATAGCAAGGACACAGGGAGATATCTGATTTTTCTTTTCTGGAGACCAAAGAAGCCAAGAACATTGTGAGCTATCTTTACAATGAGAAGTAGCTTTTCCATTAAAAGGCAGATGCTTCATTTTCAAAGGTTAAATAGAATGGTCCTTAAAAAATGATTCCAGCTAGTAAACTTTAGGGTCCTGGAGAAAAATATCCAACTCAAGAATATAATCCAACCTTAATTCCATATTTCCTCCTGACTGTGAAGTGAATAATTTTCACTTACTCTAAGACCTAGAAGTTGAGTATTTTGATCCTCTGTGATGAGGTCGGCAGGTATGCTGTGACTCCTGATGGCACTGTGCTGCCTCTCACCCCCATCCTGCCTCCTGGCCAGGGTTTAGGGAGAAAGTTTCCATAATAGTTGCTACCAAATACATCTTCCACCCAACTATGTCTGGTTTTTAACTCTCCATTTCTACATTTTAACTGCATGAAGCTTTAAGTTCCCCAACCAAAAAAAAAAAAAAAACAAAAAACAAAAAACCCAGAAATTTCTTTGTTCATTCACTCATTCATTTATTCAACAAATTGGGTGCTTCCTATCTGCCAGAAACTGTGCTAGGAGCTAGGAATAGGATGGGCAAAACCAGACATCAGTCCTACCTTCCTGAAGCGTGTGGTCTAAGTGAGGATATGGAATTAGCCAAATAATTGCATGAGGATATAATTCTAAATGAGATAATGAGATAAATGTCCTGACAAAAAGGAGTATGATTCTGTGAGATCTATCACTGAGGAACATATCCTAGATGTAGGGTGTGGGGTCACCTAGTTAACTAGGTGTAGGTGTGGGTGGGAGAGTCATAGCCAGAGGGGATAGCACATGTGAGATCCTATGGTAGGAGGCACTATGGTTTGTTTGAGGAACCATAAGAAGGCCAATGTGGCTGTAGCATAAAGAACATAAGGAGCAAGGAGGAAAAGGGAATGAAATAAGGCTGGACATGAGATAGGGGCCAGACTCTTGGTGGGACCATGTAGGACTGGGGGTTTTATTTTAAGGGCAATGGGGAATTACTTAGGGGTTTTAAGTGTGTGTGGGGGGTGGAGGGTTGGGTTGATGGATGACAGATTTTCATTTTCAAAGATTACT